GGCAAGCTATCACACTGCAGAGTCTTTAGGATGTGCTGTCAAAGATCAATAACTAAAAATGTATTATGTATGATTATATGTATTCGGAAACCCAGGGACAAAAATAAATAAAAATGAACACAGCTGCTTAAAACATGCCGCCAGAACAGTACGACGGTAAGAAAGACAAATCAGATGCTGAAAAATGACTTTAAAAACAAAGCAGTCAAACAGAAGTCAAGCAAGTATGTAGGTGACTGAAGCAACATTACTGAACTACTCATGACTTTCATTCATACCTAAGAGAAAATTCAAGATCATTTCTGAAGAGGAATGCCACAAATTCTCTGAAAATCACTCACACTTGCCACGTAAGAATCAACCTGTTCATTGGTTCCTGAGTGGTATGAACCAGAATCACAATTTCAAACATCCACAAGTGCATGTATGTATAGAAACTCAAAGAGCAAAAGCAGTCCATGTGGACAAAATATTTCATCTTGGGTAAACCTGACATTAGTTCTCAGCCTAAGTGAGCTGAGCGGAGACTAGAAGCTTCTCTGTGCACAGCCACCTAGCTTGTGTAAATTGGGGAATTGCAGTGTTTTGCCTCACAGAGACGCGCTAAATTCAAGATTATTTTAAGTCTGCAAAGATTTGTAGATTAGCAGGAATGTAGCAGGAAATGGAAGTGAAAGCAATGTCCTGTAGCTCCTGCATCTGTATCTATATGCTGCATGTATACGTGTTTACACCCAGGGAATGGGTTTACACAACAAACGGTCAAGATAATCGAAGTCCATCATCTTACCTGTGGTGAAATGTCTGTGGTAGGGTGGGTGGGGAGGTGGAGGGGGTGGCCAGGCCGGGCGAGTAGGGATGATACGGCGTCTTCTTCAGCGCCTGGATCAGGTTGTGCCTATACTCCGGATCTATGGACCACAGAGAGCCTTTGCCTATGCTCTGTAAAGAAAGAAAGAAAGAAAGAAAGAAAGAAAGGTAGATAGTGAGGGAGTGGGGACAGAAAGATAGATGGGAGAGTTGTTATTGGAGGCGCTATCAGGCCCCTCAAAGCACATCACAAACACAGCACAGCACACTGACCTGAGCCCAAACACAAGCTCAAAGTCCGGACCAGACCTTGTGCCGGATTCTTATTTACAAAACCACCTGTGCACACATCAATTCTGCATTCCCACTGAGGAAAAAGACCTTGAGAAAAACAACATTCTGTGCATCTACTGGCTCAAACACTGATAGATTACTGCCTCACTCCTCAAAAAAAAAAAAACACCATCCGTACAAACATTCCCATATTCCCGAGGACGATAACACTCGGAGGAATGAGAATTAATACGACGCCACCTCGCTCAGTATTTTCCAATCCTCTGCCTCTCGTTGGGAAAATAAAATAAGGAATTATGAAGCTTCTTTCTGATTAAGACACAGGGAAACTCTTTAACTTTTTCCACTCCAGAGGCGATGATGGTGTGTATTTTTAGATCAAAGCAGCTTCCCCCTCACCTAATGAAGCTGTCGGCTCCCAATCTGAGTGAAACCAGCCTATAGATTATAGAGAGAGGCCGTCGTGAAAATACACTCCCTGTCTCTCTCTCTCTCTCTCTCTCTCGGCGCTTTCATCTGCCTTGTCATCTGAATGTGGCAAAATCGGAGGGGTTTGCTCACAGCCGAGACCGAGACTGGCATGAAAAGGGAAAGCGAGCGAGAGAGAACGCGCCGAGTAAATATAAAATTAAAGTCGTCTCGCTTCGCGTTCGGCTCACTTTGTAGTGCTCTGTAATGTGATATAGGTACAGGCTACGGGGTGGGAAGATGTCAAGACTGTGGACTTCTGATTTCTGCAAATACGACAAGGAATCTATTAAGAGGGAAATGTCAGCCGTGCCTGAGCCGTGCACGTGAACATTAATTGGGGACAAATTCCAAAAGCTGCTGCGCATTTTTTTTTGCATTGAAGTGGATGAGGAATATAAACCACAATGCCTGGCCTATGTTAGAAAAATGTACAGATTAAACTAAATACTTATTTTTAGTGAAAACGAGACATGCTGTTATCACGACATGCACAAGAGGCCACAAGGAGTTTTCCTGCTTTTTTATTTTTCTTGTCAAGATTTAATCACAACATTAAAACCACCTGATTAATACTGTGCAGAGCTCCTGCATAAACAGCCTTGACCCAGTGGGACATGGACACATGACATTTAGAGGTGCTCTTAGTGTCCTATGGGTTTGTTCTGATCTGATCTGAGTGGGATCCACAGATATTGAATCAGCTCCCTGGGCTCTTGGTCATGTTCCTCGAGCCATTCCTGAGCAGTTTTTTTGTGGTGTTGCAGGGTGCATATTCCTGTTGGGGCATGCTAGATCTGCAATTTCATGATTTCAGTGTGTGATAAATGTGAGAGTAACATCTACCTGAATGCAGAAGATTTCCCAGCAGAACATTACAGCGGTTTTATTGTTGTGGCTAATCGATGTTGTCACAACCTCTTTGGTGTATTTATCAAACTGCTGCTGCACTAATATAACCAACAGTATCAAAGAACATATTTCTAATTCATAAATATATAAATCAGGGTTAAATAATAGGACATTGGCTCAGTATTTGCCAGTAACTATCAAATCTAAGTTCGGAAACCCTTATAATAAACAATAAAGCAGCAGCACCAAATAGCGGCAAATGTATCTGCACTGCTGCCTTTAAGACGCCAATGAGCTTTTCTTTTTTACTAAAGTGAATATTTTCACACATTCTTGCCTTTATTTTGAAAGGGACAGTGCAGAGAGGAGCAGCAAATGTGGGAGAGAGAGCAAGGAAATGACACAAATGGTCCCCGGCTGGGATTTAAACCGGGGATCCACAGCTCAGGCCATATGTGCCCATGTAGTATTCATCCTAACCGCTCTGCAACTGGGTCGCCCTCGAAAGGTTTTTCTAAACCGAGTGAGAAAATGTATGGAGCCCTGCAAGGTTCAAGCACGTTAATTCAGAACAAATGAGACAAATAGCTCTTATTATTAAGTTTGTAAGTAACCCGAGGAGTGAGAAGTTGCAAAATTTAATTCAAGCACGAGCCCAAGGTTGGGAACCACTCAACTACACTCGGCACAACTTAATTAAATGCATGGTTGCAAGAAGAAAAATCTAATCTATTGATCTAGGTAAGCCTTTTAAGTTGCAAACATGCAAAATGTTTTTGATGAGTTGTGTTAACATAATGACGTTGGTGATTATGGCAACTTAATATTGTGTGTAATTTAGACTGAAATTTGTAGATTAATTTATTTTAAACTAAATGGAAGTTAGACTAATATTAAAATTGGCTTGATGTCTTTATTTTTCTCCCCAGTCTGGATAAAATAAGATGTTAGAGGACCTGTAGGTTGAAAAAAATACAATACAAAGGACTTTTAAAGGGGATATTTCTAAAGGTGAAACAGCCTGTGTTCACATATAAAATGCCTAACTAATTTTTTGTTGACCTGATTACTTTCTTAAACACTTTTACATGAATTAAAAACATTAAAAAGCTAAAACATTACTTGATTTTAAACTTGATTTAAAAAAAAACATGTCAAACACTTGTGTTCATAACTTTGCTAAGTATGACACTTAAACATTCAAATCAAATCAAGTTTATTGTCATTTTGCTGTACATACACAGTAGTACAGGCAAGACCAGAGAGCGTTTCTTCAGGATCATTTAATTCATAAGTTTTGCGGAATGAACGTCTGGGATTAAGACACCAAACGTTCACTCTCGCTGTCTCCTGAAGGGGGCGCTGCGTCCATGTGCGCCGCCATCATTTTAATCTTTTAAATAAGGCGAAAAACTTGTTGGAACAACTGGACTTTTAGGAGCAATTAACTTAAAATTAAATCAAATAAAAATTATCTTTGATTGTTGAGGCTAACTTCTCCCAACAAGCAAGAAATCGGCTGAACGTACTGTCATTAGAAGTTGTCATAACTAAAAAAGTTGATGCAAACTGTTTCGTTCATTTTTTTCATTTTCTTTTTTAACCTAAACATTTATTCTTAATGTGGACAAAGGCAACTGCTATTTGGAGCTGATATACATTTGCAGTAAAAATAAAAATCTTGTCAAAATTTGAAATAACACACACGTAGATGCAAAACTTCATTTTGTGTGTTTCACATGCTGTTTAATTAAAAGAGAACTTCAGAGCCTTTATCCTTCAGTGTGGATACATTGTTCAAGCAAAAATCAGAAAAATGCTAAAAAAATCGAATTCAGTAATCAGTCAAGTCGATCGTTGGTTGAGCCCTATTTATTACAATGCCTATGAAAAAGCCCTACTTGGAGGTTTTTCCCTTTTATTGCTTTAATTTACAAAAAAAAGACTCTTTCATGTCTGAAGTAAAAACAGCTTTTACCTAAGCAATGTCAAAAACTACAAAAATGTAAAGGAAGCAACTGCAAACTAATTCAACACAAGTGCAGCCAGTTGGTGCTAGAAGTCACGCAGTTAGTGAAAAGGAAATCATCTGAGTGCACTGAATGTGTCTCAAGCGACACCTCTGAGTACTTTTTACAGGCAGGGTGTGTTATTGTACTACAGCAATGGCAGCAACAGGCGATTACACACACATACACAAAGCAGAATTTAACACAAAAACATGTAAAAATCTTAAAACAAAAGCACGACACTTTGGTGACGTCCTGTGATGCGCGTCCGGCACGAGTCTCAAATCAATCTTCATATTCACGTCTGACTTTTTGTTTCCTGTTCCTTGACATCTATAATGACAACACAAAAACTGCATCGTAACTCGTGGCCGCGCAGAGCCTCCGAGGATTTCCTCGTGTCTCCTGACGTCCAGCGAATCAGTCAAAAACTGTGCCGTGACCCGCTGCAGCCTCCTGACCTTGCAGGAATGCAAGAAGCTAATCGGATGTGTGCGCACTGTTGATTTGTGTGTGTTTTCTCTCCTTCCTTGTCTGGATCTTTGCATTAGTATGTCAGTCGTGTTGAACACAGGCCATATGTGCCGTGTTTTGCTGCGCCTGTGTGTGTGTGTGTGTGTGTGTGTGGGTGAATGTGTGTATGGCGAGTTCCCTGGGGAGTGTGATATTACCCAGCGTGGTCTGCTCCTGGGAGTGCTTCTATTACTGCCAGCAACGCCTCTCCTGGAGAGCATGATATTACACACACATACACTCGCTCCCACAGAGGTGACCCCCACTGGGCCAAATTTCCCCTTGCACCTCCAGCCCGGCAGCGTTTGTGTATATGTGTGTGTGTGTGTTTGTGCGCTTACTGTCTGCCCGCTTGCCAGCCGATTAAATCAATGCTCTCTCTCCAGAATCTCTGTCTGCTGGGGCTCCTGCCTCTGCCAACCTGCCGGCCAATCAAAACCCTCAATCCTCAGACTCCCCCCGTGCCCTCCCCCCCTCCTCCTTCCTTCGTGGTCGATAGGCCAATCACAGGGCGCATCTCACAGGAAGGGTCTGTCACCTGGGTTATAGCGGTCGCCTTGGCAACAGGCATCACCCGAGCTGGAGAGAAAGCGAAATGGACTTTTTTTTTTTTTTTTTTTGCGCGCTCTCGAATCATCACAGAAAGTTTATGGGGTCAGGAGCGGGTCTGAAAGTTTCGAGATTTGACTCGACGTGACGCAGATTTTAAAAATATGTCACCCCCGCGACTCGCATTAAGAGCAGGTGACGGAGGGATCGCCCTCTTTGACATCCACCTGAGGCTGTTTGTGATCTCTATTTATACTATTTCCTCTCGCCATCCTTTGTTCCCCGTCTACTCTGATGATCTACTTTCTGTGTCTGTGTGTTTATTTGTGATCCATCTGGAAAACAGTCACATAACTGCAGCGTTCACAGCTAAAGAGCAGGATTACACAACGAATAATCCACAGCTCGAAAGGTTAACCCCCCGAAGAAACATCTCAAATATGAAAT